ATGGTTCTTTACCAAGAGGAAACACAATGCATCAGGTCGAGAGGTTGTAGAGACAGAAAAGTGGATGCAATTCTCAGTTCCAAGCTTCAGTTTCTTTACCTACTAAAATAGTAAAATCTAAAACTAGTTGCTAGTATTATCCTGAGATTAAGTGAGTTAATATACAGTGACTGGAACCTAGGAGGTATTCAAAAATTTTAGTTTTAATTTATTCTCTTTTAGCACTGGTAGAGCTGATAATGCTTAATATTTTGTCCTATGGAAGCTTTTGTTGAAATATTATTTTTGATTCGGCAAATCTACTTCAATCATGAAGATGGATCTACAAAATGTAAATGTACCATCTTAGCAGAAGGTCAATGAAAAAAAGCTTTAAAATATTTAAAGTCTGGGTTACGATGTGTAACAAACTAAAATTCAAAAAACTTTTAAGACTCAGCTAACACTAATGATGGTTTTAAACAGCATTCTCAATTACAGTAAGCTGTTTCTTGTCAGGCCAGCTGCCAGGAGTGGATTTGATTACCTAAATACATTCTATGTGGTCAGAAATTTAACACTGAAAACTCAGCAGGGGAGAAAGAAGTCTGAAGAGTGAATTGACTCGTAGTGTGATTTACAATAAAAGGAAGCTTTTCTAAGAAATTTTATCTGAAAGTTAAGAACTCCTTTGAGATTTTCACCATCAACTCAGCATGGTGCTATTATTTTGTTATTGAAACACTTAAACTTTTGTTTTTCTTACCCCTTGCAGAGGAATCAATAGTCTAAAATTAGAGCAGAGAGGAGCAGCTCTTGAGTGCTAATCGGGGTTGGGCACTAAGGATTTCAAAGATTGCAGCCAGCAGCCTATCAGCCACGTATTAAACCTTACTCATTAAATTGTTTTCAGAAATAAAAATAATGAAAATATAATACAGGACAGGTTTTCATAAAATATGCTATAAACAGTTTTTCAAAAATATATCTATATACTTTTTACTATTATCAATAGTATGTTCTCCTAGATATATTTTGGGATGTCCGCCAAGCTCATAATACTTTTTCCTCTCTAAAAATTAGTGTCTCTCCATGTTGTCCTTGGGGCTGGGTCCCCAATAACTATGTTTATATTGTGCAAACTTCTCCCCTCCCCTCCCCTTGCCATTGGTGACTGGTAGATCCCAGACCTAATTTCAATTGACTTCTTCCCTATGGTTAGAGGTGACTGACTAGTGCTAGACACCTGACAACCCTGGCCGAATGCCATTTTCCCACCTGAGGATATGGAACAGAATGGAGAAGCTAGTATCTGTTGGTGACTAGAGCTGAACAGAAAAACATGGCAGCCCTGGGTAGAGGTATTTTACTACATGTAAGTCAAATGGAAAAAAAAAAAAAAAAAAAAAAAAAAAAAAAATCCAGTATGTAGATAAAATGGAACGGAAACACATGCAGAGAAAACAGAGATGAGATAAAAAGAGAGATTCCTTATAGTTTTCTAATTCCCTTTTTATTTATTTATTTATTTATTTATTTATTTATTTATTTATTGAGACAGACATTCCGTCGCCCAGATTGGAGTGCAGTGGCACGATCTCGGCTCACTGCAAGCTCTGCCTCCCGAGTTTAAGCAATTCTCCTGCCTCAGCCTCCTGAGCAGCTGGGACTATAGGCGCATGCCACCATGCCCGGCTAACTTTTTGTATTTTTTGTAGAGACGGGGTTTCACCATGTTAGCCAGGGTGGTGTCGATCTCCTGACTTCATGATCCACCTGTCTCGGCCTCCCAAAGTGCTGGGAGTACAGGCGTGAGCCACCGTGCCCGGCTAGTACAGACCTTTCTTAAGCCCAGATGGAATTCCTGGCATTCCTATGGCAGGACTTTATGAACTTATATTCATATGGCACTTCCCCAAAGCCAGTTTTTTAAAACTTTTCCTAAATGAAGTTGAAAGTGCGTCTGCTTTTTGCAATCAATAATGCCTGATTCACAAAAAATAGATTATAAGTATCTATGACTTCAAAGGGTCCATAACTTACCACAAACAAAAATTAAAGAATATTATATATGATAAAAAATTTTATGTAATAGTTACCTTTTATTGAATACCAACAATATTCTAGGTATTTACGCATGCTTATAAGTGCTTATGAATGTTTATTTTTAATATTCAATAGAGTCTTGAGAGGCTGAAACAATTATTCCCGTTAGAAGAGAAATCCAAATCTCAAAGTGTTCATAAAATTACACAGGTAGTGACAAAGCTAGAATTCAGACCTTGAGATGCTGCTGTTTTGAAATGCCACATCCTGTCCACCCAGTGACACTTAGGAATCTCAAACTGAACCTTCAACTTCCCTTGTGATATCTTCATTTCAATAAACAGTGTCTCAATTTAATCCAGTCATTCACTCTAATCACCTTCACTTTATAAAAACATTCCTTTACTCCTCTTTCTTTCACACATCCACATATTTTCCATCATCAAATCTTAACAGATGATTTTTGCAGTACACTTAGAATTGAATGTCCTCTCATCCCTTCCATCATCCTGTCATGGGGTGGGTGCGGGGGCACCGCAACCAGTTAACAGTCTCCTTGTTTCCACTTGTGTGCTTACCTCCACCCTCACGTTCTATTATCCATGGTGTAGGCAGAATAAACCTTTTAAAATATAAATCTAGGCATGCCACTTTCCTCCTCCGCACCCTCCAACAGCACCATGAATTGGCCTGTCCACTGCCCCAATATTATTTGCTACCTCTCCCTCACACATTCTGCTCCAGCTTTAACGTCCTCCTTGCTGATCCCCAAAAATTTCAAACAGGCTCCACTTCAGGGCATTTATGCTTGCAGTTTCCTCTACCAGGGATAGTGTTTACAGAGGCAGCCACTGGCCAAGACCCTCAATTATTTTAAGCATTTGCTCAAATGCCTCCACTTCAGAGAGACCTTCCCTAACCGCCCATTTTCTGGTAGTGGACTCTCCTCATCTCTCTCTAGAGCACTTATCTCTACCTCACTAATTTTTATTCATTTGTTTACATATGTTTGTTTTCTGTCTCTTCCCACTAAAATGTAAGCTTTATGAAAGCAGACATTTGGTTTGATTTGTTCACAGATATGTCTCCAGGACCTTGAGAACACACCTAAAATAAGATGGCGGCTCAGTGACCCCTGACTGACTGAACAGATAAAAGCAAGTGGGTTCTTTAAAATCTAAGTAATAATTTCAGATTACTTAATATTTAATATTTTACTATTTTCAGTTATCTTTTCTAAGGCACATCCTCACCTCCTAAATTTTCCCATTCAGAGTATAACCCTTTTCACCTACATGTCCATAAACTATTTATGCTTTTGTTGATTACTTTTGACTCATATTCTAGTAATGTATTCACTATAAATTGGAATGCACATGAAAGGCTACCATTGTTTTGCCAGTCTCCTCTTTCACAGTCCCAAATATGCTGTGTAAATTCTTCTATTAATAACAATGTTAACTACTATTACCTGAAAAGTTTTTCTCTCTTATTAATTTTAAAAATTGATCTGTTTAAGCCTCTATTTGGAGGACAAAAACACCATAGTGACAACGTACATAAAGATTGTTGAGCTAAACAGTTCCTCAAAGATAAAAGTGATCCTGCCACCCTTGTTGTGGATTTTTAATTCATTTAAACAAGTACTTATTTTTCACATACTATGTCTCCGGCAAGAAATGGCAGAACTAGGTATAGTCCCTGAGTTTTTTTGACTTGTGGGTTTTTTGCAGAGTAGAATATGATTTCTGGTTCTGGTTTTGCAATTTTAAGATTGTCTACGTTTTTAAATATTAATACTTGATGTAGTAAAGATACTTAGATGAACACATTTCATCTGTTCCAGTAGAAGTGGATTTTTACACTGACTTCACTCTTATAGATAATAGTCAATATTTCATATTTAAGCATAACATTATTCCTAAAAATGAATACATGATAAAATTAGTATACTTTTAGTAATACCTATAACCTATATTCACTTTATTTTATAGTTAAGTTTTGACTATTAACCAGTCAATATGTTTTGAGTGCCCCGTATGTGACAGTAACTGTATTTGACGAGTTTATATTTAATGAGCAATAATTTATATAAGACGTTGAACAGGACAGCATGCTTTTGGACAGTTGAATGAAACAAATACCTAGATCAGGAGATGGACATGCTGGAGAGGTTAAAGGCAAAATAAATCTTTTTCATAGTACAATCATCTGGCTTGCATCAGTTAAATTTAACATTTACAGAAGACTTCCTATTGTTACACTATTAGTAAATTTTCCCTTTTTACGAGTTTCACAATCTAGTCGGAGAAATGAAAACAAGGACCATAATGTAATTAGTGGAATACTGACAATCAGAACTAAAGGTTAAAAGATGTTTAGATACATAAGATGACTAAAAGATAATAGTAGATAGGAAAGGAGGGGGATGCTTGGAAACACTGCATTTCTTCTGTTCATTGTATAATTTTTTGAATTTTTTTATGCCAATCCCATCTTTAATATGGTGAAAGAAAGAGTCAGGATATATAAATGAAAGACCAGCCACACGGTCTTACAATAGTCCCAAAGTGTATAATATAATCATATTATATTTGTCAAATATTTCTGAGTTTTATGCTTATATTTATCAAGTTCCGGAAATCTCTGAATACATGGCAATTCACCTTGTTTATAATTATTTCTCATTTGAAATCTGATCAAACTTCCTAAGGATAAGAAAGCCTCGGGATAGTTTGGTTCTTAAAATACAAGCTCTTTAACTAGCACTAACAGTGATGACACCTGTAAAACGAAACCTTTTCTCAAAATGCTCTCTTAAATTTAAATGCACTGCTTAAATTCTGTTGCAAATGACATTCATTTCTGCAACAAACATTACCTGCTATATTCACGGTATATGAACGGTTTGAGACGTAGCTTGTTAACTAATCAATTGAACTCATCCTTACAACTTATTTCTTGAGAGTACTTACGTATTCTTCATAAGCTTCATGGGCTGGAGGAGGAGGCGCCCTGTATCCTGGCACTGTTGGTGCCCCCCGGGCTCGAGGGGTAGGGACACCTCTTGCTACAGGTGGCACTGGAAGGGCTCCACGGGTTACAGTGCTTCCTCGAGGGGTGAGAACACCTCGTCCAGGTGGTGGGGGAGGAGGAATGGCACCCCCACGGCCCCTAAGAGAAACAAGTCATGTATAGATGAGAAACAGGTGATGCGAGAAAAGAGCCTATCACAGAAAAAGCTTTCATCTCACAGCCTCCACACAATGAAAGAAATTCAAATTTCTTTCTCTCTCTCTTTGTGTGTGTGTGTGTTTAATAGAAATTATATAAGATATAAAGTGTGTTGATATCTACAGAAGACAGTAATTGTAAATACTGACTATGATTAGTTCTTATAAAAACCATGTAAAATACTTTGTTATTGTCTTTTACATAACTAAAAACCCAAAGCAAAGAAAAAAACAAACAAAAACCCACTCTGAATATAACCCCATTAAATTCCAAATTCTCCAAAAAGACACAAATCAGAGCATTGTCTGATATATGACTCACTGGACCATCTCTGAAACTGAGCAGCTAGATGTCTACATCTCCTCTATGCTGGGGATTATAGACAGTGATGGACAATACTGTCATTCACCAAAAAAAAAAAAAAAAAAAAAAAAAAAAAAGTTGCACTTAAATAAAATGTGGAAGTCTAACCATAGTGATATCATTTTATTACAGCAGCTTAAGTTTGAGGTCACTTGAAATCACAACTCTTTGTCACTGATTTATCATCATGCATGTAACCCCCTGAGCGGGTGCAGTTCCTGACAGAATATATTTTCTTATGGTAACTATGGTGTTAGAGGAATACTTTAGTATCTGTAATAAAAATAATAGACTGAATACTTTGTATTGCAGTTCTTGATACAAAATTAGCTTGCAATAAAAGTGTAAGATCAAATGGTTGTAGCCAATTTTTATGGTATTTTGAAGCTTTTAGAAAGGTTGAGTGTTTGTCTGAAGTCTTTGGGCAAAAGCACAGTTATTTCACTTTTTATTATTATGTCTGAAAGGTTGGCCTCTAGATAGCACTGCTTTCAGTGGGAACACTAAAGCTTTGGGGAAAAAAAAGATGATCATTGGGATGTCAACAATCACAGTATTTGGCTGTAGCCACATATGGGGACGTAGGTTATGCTGTCTGCTATGAATAGCAGTCAGATTGCTCTTTCTTGCTTAAAATAAAAGTGAGCTTTTATGAGTGAAGAATACGAATGCAGGAAAAGCCTTTAAAAGTTTTAAATAGCTTATAGAGCTGATGAATAGAGAAATGATCAGAGAACTTATTGTGAGTCTAATGTATAAAGAATACTCTCCTAGATTGGGAGAAGGTGAAACACAAAGACCCAGAGGCCCAGTGCTGGCTTCAAGTACAACATGGCTGAGAATACAGTATTCTGTATTATCATGATAATATATAAAGGGATGCAAAAACCAATTTTGCCTTCACTGCTCCTCCAAGCACATTTCCGTTTCCTCATTAGCAAGATGAGCATATGTCCAGGTTTTAGAACTGTTGTCCTAGCTTCCTGTTCAGTTTAACATTTTAACACTCTCAAAAGTATCCATGTGTGGACAATAAATTATATGGTCACCCTACTGTAAACTATATGCACAAGTCTTCACTATACCATTGAATAGTCATGGGTAAGTATTATAACTACCCAGGCTTGAGGTAGATATATTTTTCTAATGAGTAAAATGCAGATTTCTAAATTTTTAGTACTTCCTTCTGCTCTAATATTATATGATGCTCATCATATCAAATCTAATTTTCCATTTTCCTCCTTCATCAACTGACTACCAGACACAGCCCTAGCAAACCTGTCTCCTGAACCTGACTCATTACCTCTTATCCACTATGTTCTTTCCCTGGAATATTAACTTCCTTGTTCTCTCCTCCAACTTAATTCACATCACTTTTTTTTTTAGGATACTGCCCCTGGCTAAAACCACACCACAGTATCCTTTCCTTTATTTGTCTGACTTCCTCTACATTTCTGAACTGAATGCTATCAGTCTAGTTCTTGCTTTCACCCCTCTGTTGAAAGTGCTCTTGACTGAGATCACCAGTAGCCTACTGATTTCCAAATCCACTAGATTTCTTTACAGTCTCCATGCCACAGCACATTTCTACTATTTTTAAGATTGTGGACCATGATCTGGAAAATGTTTCTTCGGACTTTTATGACTCTGCTTTTCTCTACTTTTCCTCATTCCTCTTTCTTACTCCCTATCCCCCTTCACTGGCTTCTATTCCTGGACCCACTTTGGAATCTGGATGTACCCAATTTCTATCCTTGATCTCATGGTTGCACCCTGCAATCCCTACTTCTGATGATGACTATAATCTCTTTCTTCCTAACACAATGCCATATCTTGGCTTGTCTTCCTTATATCAGAAGTTTCTTAACTTGCCTGCATGTTAAAGTGACTTGAGAATCTTTTGAAAATTCCAAATTCCAGGCCATATCCTAGGCCAATTAAACCACAATCTCTGGAGACAGGGAGCTCCCAGTGATTCCAAAATACAGGCCAATTTGGGAACCACTGCCTTAAATGAATACTCTAATTGAAGCATATTGACAAGCTTGTCATGTGGGCAGTTCTAAACTATTTTAAACATAAGTTGAGATATTAAGGCATGGAGAGTACAAGTTACCTGCCCGAGGTCACACCAGCCATCCACAGAGCTCAGATTATTTACAGGAATAATTATATTCTTCATTTAATTTGATCCTTCACCTACTCTTAATGATATCACCAATTTCTCATCAGGCTAGACACCAAAATTTATCTTTCTCTTGGGGAACCCTTCTTATCCAACATCTAATTGGCATTAATTCATATAAATGTTAATCTCTAATCTGGCCCTATCCCTGTCTATTCCAAATGCTGCTCATTTTTATCTGCCTTGGATGATGGACTCATTTTTTTATTGGCTCCCCTGCTATAAGACAGTTTCTCTGTCTCTCTCAATCACTGTAACTCTTCTGCATCATCCACAGTGATAACTGAGTAGTCTTTCATATAAATAAATATGATTACTCTCCTCTTTAAAAAAACTCTATTAGTTCTATGTATTAGTTCTCAATGTGGTAAACAAAAGCCTTCAAAATTTACCCCTAATGTTTCATTTTCCAGTGACTGCACTCACTGCAACATGTAATGGTGATATGTGTTAGAGATGTCATATATTTTCATTCATCAATTATTCAAAATAAATTATTATTACAATATATAGATGTAACACTTTATTCTCTGGTGCACATTATTATTGGAAAATTAAAGTTATAGACAGGATTATTGAAATGTAAATTGTTTTAATTAAATATATTTTCAACAAATTATATAATTTAAAAATCTTCTAGATATCATCTTTTTGAATATAAGTGTAATTAAATAACTTCATACAGTAATAATTTCATGACTTAATTCAAATTAGCAACTGTTAACTCATGCAAAGTTCTCTTAGTAATATGATTTTCTATTTTGCAAGGCTATTTTCTTATTCATTTTAAATTGTAGATACAGTTCATCATACTGTTTGAAACAGAAGACAATAAAATTCTGTTTCATTTCCTCTCATTAATGCTAGCACCACTAATGATATCAGTACAGCATTGGAAGTGAAATTTAATTTTTAATGTTAATTTTATTTTATTTTTATGTATATAGTATCAGATCTGTATGTTATATGGGATTAAACAGTAAAATCTTTCAATCAAATTTTTCTTCTAAGAAGATAAATTAAAATCCAGACCATAATGTACTATCCTATATTCAATTATTTAAATGGATTAAAATCTTAGAATAAGGCTTCTCTGAAATTAAAATCTTATATAGTCCACTCAAAAATGCCAGATGCAAAATTCAACTAAGGGATATCAATAACAAAACAAAATCTATTACTATGATGATTTCATACTATCAAATGCAGATAAATTCATTATTTTAATGCCCCCCCATTTTAAGGCATACGAAATAGAAAAGTGTGTGCCCTCCTCAGGCATCCTAAATATATACTTAGTTTCAACCACATAAAGCTGTAAAATTGGCATTTGTTGAACTACAAAAGTTACAATTTCATATGATTTAACTTATGATTAAATCCATTAAAGATGACTAGCAATGATGTCTTTTTTACCTCATCAAGATGAGTTTAGAAATGTACATGGTTTTATAAAACACTCATCCCATAAAAAAGTACAGTATTGTGTTACGTCACATTAATTCTTAGCATAAACAAATGATCCTGAACAGCATTGAACAGCTTATTTTTGATTTTTTAAAGATAAAATATAAATAAGCTCTAGAACACATTCAGAAGTTTTGCTTTTAGTGAAACAGAATTTCTAGAATTACCACATTTTGCCTCTAGTAAATAGTATTCCTTGATATTTTATTTGGTAATTTATCATTCTTTACTTTTGTTTCTGACCAGTGAGAAACATTTTGAGATATTTTTGATTTAAGTGTTACAAACAGTGGCTATGTTGATAGTGGTGGTTGAAAGTATTTCAGGTATAATTTAAGTAAATAAACTGAATCTGAAAAATATCTTAGCATATCTTAAGATAATTTTTATGTAATATATGAAATAATATTTTAGATCTCTGTCCTTTAGAGATTTAAGGGCCAATTATAACAAGGTGAAGAGAATGATTAAATCATACAGTTGTTCTGTGAAGGCTACGAGTATTTTTTACTTTAACTCTTTTCAAATCAATGCCTTCTATTAAAATGTTGAACAATTCAGAATCCTGCAAAACAAATTCTAATATAAAAAGATACCAATTTCTTTGCAAATAAGCAAAATCAAATAAAATCCTCTCTGATCACCAAGAGGAGCTATAAGTACCCTCTGAACTTTGAATATCCTTACCATCAGCCATGCAAGAAGTGTTCTGGCCTTCCGGGCTGATGGCACATATGTTATCTGTATCTCTCTCTGCGTTTCTATCTATCTACTTCCTTATCTAGCAAGATTATATCAATTCAAGGACCATTTAAAACACAGAAAAAGTTTACAGTTTTCTCTTCATACAAGCGTATCTTGGTTTGAAGAGGTGAATAGTTGTATCATCTGTGTGTTCTTATCCTGAGGATAGAACAGGGAAGTAGAAAATCTCCGGTTTGCTGCCTTATTTTCTCGGGGTAGTTGTTAAGAGTATAAACTGTGAATTCTGGAGTCAGACTCTCTACGTGACCCTAGGTTAATTTCCTACACCTTTCTCTACTTCAATTTCTCACCTGTAGTTGCTAGTTATCTCCTAGTATGGAGGATTTGGTGAGTTAATATGTGTAAAGCTCTTCTGTACCTGATAAGCTTTCATCATTATTGTTTTTGCTGTGGTGGTAGTGACTGTGGCTGATGTTGCTGTTTACTGCTAGCGAGAATCATGACATAAAGCAGGACAGAAAAGGCCTGCCATCATCCTTAATTTATTTAAAGTAAGAATGAATGTACCTTGAAGGAGCTGTGGGAGCTATTCTGATCCCTCTGCCTCTAATACCTCGGCCACGACCAGAGTCCTCTGAGCCATTTAAGTAAGATAATTCACGTAGTTGTTCCTGACGAATTTCATCATTGTAGTCCTGGAAAAAAAACATGATGTGATGAGTTAAAAATGGGACATGTTGTTCTCAGAGTTGGAAAAAAAAAAAAAGAAGCAAAACAAAACACAATAGGAAATAATTTTTTTCATTTGTTTACTGGAAGCTTATATGCAAAAATATAAAATGATATTAAAAAGTGTATATATTTTAAATTCCTATTTTTATATAGAGAAATTGGAATTGCTTATTTTATCAAGAAAATACTCAGGAGGACATCACTTTAGATTTGCTGAGATGTGTTAGCTGGAAAAGGGAAGACAGCAACATAAAACAAAAACTTGGAATGTACTAAAGTTATGATTGTTAACATGACAATTACTAAAAAATAACTTCATTTGAATGAATGTGTGTAGAATATGAATGACTACGTGATATTCAAATAGCTTCTGATGCATAAACAAAAAACAGCAATCCCAAGGGTCCAGAGTAGATACTGAGCATGTATTACAACATAAAGAAGTAGGATAGTATGTCTCTACTTCAGACAACCAGCAGCTGCAGAATCCAACTAAATAGCTTGATGTGAAATATTTATTTATTTATTTATTTTCATTTTTTATTTATTTACTTTTTTGAGACACAGTCTCTGTCACCCACGCTGGAGTACAGTGGCATGATCTCAGCTCACTGCAGTCTCCGCCTCCTGGGTTAAAGCAATTCTCCTGTCTCAGCCTCCGGAGTAGCTGGAATTACAGGTGTACACCACCATGCCTGGCTAATTTTTGTATTTTTCGTAGATATAGGGTTTCGCCATGTTGACCAGGCTGGTCTTGAACTCCTGGCCTCGAGTGATCCACCCACCTCGGCTTCCGAGTGCTAGGATTACAGGCATGAGCCACTGCATCTGACCGCAGTATGAAATATTTAAACACTACAAATTTTCTACGAGTTCCAGTATTGGCCTAAGGGAAAGTGTGAGCCAGAGAAAAAGGCAAATTTCACAATAACAACCAGAGATTCAGTCAAAGTCAAAGGGACTTTTTCCTTTATTAGGGTGGAAATATACCAGCCAATTCAAGAGGACGCAAGAGTGGAGCTGAATCACTAAAGGTAAATGCTACCTTCAAAAAACAAGTGCCAGTGTCACCTGCTTCTCTTTTTACTAATCAACACACACACACACACACACACACACACTCACACACCCCTGGTTGAATAGTACAAAATTGAGTAACTGGTTATTTGTGCCAAACGGCCAATCTGATCAATTATTTTTCTGGAAATATAGTTTAAGTGAAATCAATCTAGTGGCTCTTCTAGTGGTGAGGAGAGGGGTCCAGGAGTTAACACTGTATTTGTAGAGGTTTGGCTAACAGCAGTGATGTCTGAGGCCTATCTGTGAGACTAAAAATTAAGATTATCATCTGCACCAAACGATGTCAGTGTAGCTCTGCATATGTGTGGTACTGATGAAAACTGTGTAGGGTCACCCACACACTTCTGTCTAGAAAATGGCAGGGTAGCATTCAGCCTCCAAGGATTTCTTTGGCACAGCTTTACCTCATGCTCTAGAAATCACCCAGATTACAAGCAAAAAGCCCCAAAGCATTTCACTTAATTTTATTTTTAACATGTTGCTTTCATGTTTATATTCTTCAGCACCCGATTATAGTGATAATAGCCTCAATACAGTTAGCTGACAGAAGAGCCATAGAGTAGAAAATTATAGTTTCTAACAAGCTGGATATTATTCAATTTCTACCTCCTAATTTTCTCATCCAAACAACTAAACTTAAGAAGAAACATGTCTATTATTTTATTAGAATCAGGAAATATAATGAATTGCCACTACTGAGTGAACTGACCAGGTACTATCAAAATGAAACATGAATCCCATAATTTTGCAATGTAATGTTTACCAGTTTCAAAGAGGATATTTGTAGCTTCTTCTCTGAGGAAAACACATAGATACTTGAGGTGCTTATGAATTGTAGAAAGATATGGATTGTCACTGTTGGCAAGACTGAGGGTTAGAATAAACATTTTAACAAATTGCAATTGAATTCAACATAGATAGAAGTGTACCTTAGAGCATAAATATTTTTTACGCCAGAATCAGAAAATATAAGAATGTAGATGTGATCTTATTCATTTTATAATAATAAAGAATATGAAGAAGAAGATTGAGGAATAGGAGGAAAAGGATGAAGTCAAGGAGGCTGGGGAAGAGAGAGAGGAAGAGCAACATACTAATCAGATGGTGTCACAGACTAAGCCAATTTGTTCAGGATTCCCTGCATCCATATCCTTAGATAGTTTCCACCACACTGACTCTGGGATTTGCCACGTGATTTGCCTTAGTTGGAGGCGAATATATCCAAATGTCATATCCTGGTGTCACTACAGTTTGAATTGCCCATTTAAATCTTTGCTCAGAGTCCATGCTCACCAATTCAACCGCATTGGAGTTCAGCTCCTAGACAGAAATCTAACATGGAGGGGATTTATTATTATTAATATGAACATTTGACACTGCAGGTTAATTCTTAGTGTAAGCAAAGCAACTAATATAATGTAACTGAATTTCTTATGAGCTTAGCTAGAGGGCTATGCTTTGAGAAATAAACCACCTGTCAGAGTTGTGGTTGGCAAGAGAATACAGACCAGCAACTACAGATGTAATTGACCAAAGACTCCAGTTGCTGTGCTCTAAAATCCTGTTGCTTCCAAGGCTATGCTACCCAAAAGCTTCTCCCAGCTGATAACCAAATGTAGTTAAATGCTAACACAGATCCATTCCTGGCCACACAGGATTGCTCTAACTATGCCTCCGGGGATTCCTTAATAGCACTGCTGAACTTACCTTATAACTTCGTTGCACCAGGGCAATCCATAAGGATTCCACCCCCCTTTCCTCGAGGTCAGACATTGTAGGGCAAGGGCTCTCCAGCCTTCCTTGGTTCCCTCTTTTTTTGTCACAAGAAGATTTTCCTAATACAACTCTTACATGTTTAATCCCATTATTACATCTGCTTCTTGGAGGACCCAAACTAATATACGGACTGCTGATAAAATCAAGTTCCTAAGATCACAAGGCTGAGAGCTTTGGTAAATCCATTTATGACAATGATAGTCAAGCCTATGCCATTCAACATACGTTATACTATGTATAATATAATTGAACCACTTGTTTCTCTTTTACTTTAAAGTGGCTAGAGAATGGTTAAACATGAAACTGATTACTGATGACCAAAGAGGGTAGTAATGAGTATTTTTAAGAAAATAAATTGTATGTTGTCCAATTTTTTCAATACTTTACTTAATAAGAAAATAACAAAGACTCATGAAGATGGGCAAACACAAACCATATCTTGAGCCAGAGATTGGAACAAATTGGTTGACACAGATAAATTGTGGTAATAATGAAAAGATTAGTGCGTTCATGTGTGTGATAGAGTATGAGAGAGATAATATTGGCAACCACAGGTCGTTTAAGAGTGCTCTAGTAGAAAATATATGGTATGAATGGGAAAGGTAGAAACAAATGAAGTTTCCAGGTGCAGAAATGGCTAGAAGTATAATGAGAGACATTAGCCAGAGAAAAAGGGAAATGAAAAAAAATTTGAAGGTGGAGAATTTGTATTTGGTTCAAATAACCTTCTGTTTAAAATGTCAGAGAGACCTTCAGGCTTATCTTAGAAATTCAGATCTGAGTTAAGGGAGTACATTTGAGTGTCAACTACACATACTTGTGATAACTGAAGGATGAAGACTGTGTAAGAAAACAGTAAAATTATGTATAGAGACAGAAATTCTCTAATCATAATTTTAATGCAAATTTATATCACAGAAAATAGTTGATTTATCAACTGCAATATTTGTATCATTAAATGCTAACTTACCCAGGTTTTTAATAAATTCTGGTTTTCCTGATTAGACAATCAAAACATATGTACCACATTATTTATAGCAATGAGGCACCTAAATGCTTCAAAAAAAAATACGGAAGAAAACTTTTTTTTTTTTTTTGAGATGAAGTCTCACTGTATCGCCCAGGCTGGAGTGCAGTGGTGTGATCTTGGCTCACTGCAACCTCTGCCGCCCAAGTTCAAGCGATTATCCTGCTTCAGCCTCCTGAGTAGCTGGGATTACAGGCACCTACCACCACGCCCAGCTAATTTTTGTATTTTTAGTAGAGATGGGGTTCCACCATCTTGGTCAGGCTGGTCTTGAACTCCTGACCTAATGATCCACCTGCCTCGGCCTCCTAAAGTGCTGGGAATACAGGTGTGAGACACCGCACCTGGCCGAAAACATTTTTTAAAATGTCCAAATCTAGGGATAGTTGAACTCTTAAATATTGTTTAGACTGAACATATTCTGTGCCTTATATTTTCAGCTATTAAAATTTTTATTTTCAATTATTATGGGTATATCATATGTATATACATATTTATGGAGTAAATGTGATGTTTTGATATAGGTATATGATTTGTAATAATCACATCAGGATAATTGGGGTATCTATCACTTCAAGTATTTGTCATTTCTTTGTATTGGGAACATTCAAATTCCACTCTCTTAGTGATTTTAAATTATACAATAAATTATTATTGACTATATTCACTTCGTTGTGCTACCCCAATACTAGATCTTATTCTTTCTATCTAACTATATTTTTGCACCCATTAACCATCCCAACTTTCCCCTCTCCTTCCCACTATTCTTCCTGGTCTCTGGTAACCATCGTTCTACTCTATCTCAGTGAGTTCAATTGTTTTAATTATTAGCTCTCACATATGAGTGAGGACACGTACAATTTGTGTTTCTGTGCTAGGCTTATTTTGCTTAACCTGATGACTAGTTCCATCTATGTTGTTGCAAATGACAGCATTTTATTCTTTTTATGGTAGAATAATATTCCATCCTGTAAACCAACCATGTTTTCTTTTTTCATTCATCCATTGATGGATGCTTAGGCTGATTCCAAACATTAGCTATTGAGAAGAGTGCTGTGATAAACACGGGCCTACAGAAAT